CTCGGTTGGTCTATTGTGTTCATCCTAATGAAGAAAGTGGAAGAAAGAAAAGAATGGTGGAAAAAAGTGAAGATATTACTGGTAGGAGTTATAGTTATAAGGATGATCCGCGGCGGGACATCTTGTCGTGTCGCCTTTAGCCACTTCTGGCTAATTGAAGAATTACTATAGGGTCAGTGTTAGAGAATGAAGGCAAATCATGTGACACTTGTTCCCCCACCAACCTGTGTCTCACGGTAATGAGTGCTGGATAGTGGCGGAGTAAATGTTCGATCGTCTTAATTCTTCTTTGTATTGACAGATTCTACAGTAGTCAATAACGTCGATTTCGAGGTCATTGCCCTCAGCTTACAGTGACCTGTGATGATACCCACACACAAGTTTTAAATCAGGTTTCGACAAGGATAGTAGCGACATTGTTGTCTTCTCCGAAAGTGTGGGCCAGATTCTTTTGGAGATGTTGCCTCCCCTTTCGTCCAGCCAATTTCGTTGAATTCTCCCATTTCGTCCAGCCAATTTTGTTGAATTCTGTCAGAGTAGTGTCTATGAATTAGCTGTAGAAAGTGGCACAGAGGTGGTTCGACCGAGTTCTCAACTTCAATGATACCTGATTCGGACCCTTGTATATCAGTCTTGTTGCCTGGAATATTATAGTGACCAGAAACCCAACAGAGCTTGTGTCTTGCCGTTGGGGGATGGAATAATCGGCTATACCGACACGAGACCTTCCCACCCATGTATATGGGCAGATCTCTTCGTCGGCAGCAGACATGGGGCGACACTTTTAAAATTTCTTCGAATTCGCGAACTACCTTCAAGTTCTTTTTGATGTACTTGATTTTTTAGATGTTGCCTCCTTGGTTCGATTCTCTCGATTGCCTCTTGCCGCTGGAGGATTGATTGACTCATCAGCTTAATTTCACGTATGACTCTCCTCGACCTATTCACCCCCATTCGATGAAGTGAATAAAAAAAATACTGCTATGCATTATACCCATATTGTCCACCCACCCGTATAATATCATCAAACCCTCTTGAACGAAGGACATGGCCAACCGGTCTCCAATATCAATTGGTCGATTTATTGACAAACTTAAAATTAACATTGGAATAAATTTGACTTGAACTTTAAATTGAATAACAATGGACTAACTGATTGAAAGACGTATGTCTATCAGATTTTCAGTGGAATCAATGGATTCTAACTTGGTGATCAAAAGTAAAAATTAACTTAGTTTTTTCTAACTTCATATTCTATTCTTTAAGTAGGCGATATAAATTCATAATTAAATTTACTTTCCACATAATTTAGGTGACATTGATATGATTGAGGCTGATATAGTTATGGGCAAGATTAATAATACCGGTCCGGATATGCCTGTGATGGCTCATCCTCCCGCCAATAGCTCCGATATATCCCTGGATTCATTTCTACAACAAATCAAAATTTACAATGATGAGAATGCAGAGAAAATGAAGGGAGTGAAATTGGACTTTAAGTCGATTGAGGTATTTGAGGGGGCCCTGAAGACACTGGAGGCAAAAATACCCGAGGTGAGTAACACAATTTGCAAACAACACTCATTCTTATTCCCAATTCATATTCATCTTTCTTCCCCTAAGATGACTTATCCCATATGGCTGAATGCGGATATCATTAGTGGACCGGTAAATCAAAACAATACCATACCCGTGGATCCGCAACGTTTTTTTGCTGGCTCATCACAATTCCCTCAAGCCGTGCTATCGATTGGATGGACAACACGATGGTCTTCGGATTACAATAACGGCTCGTATACACACCAAGAAATAGATGCAATGGTGGTGGCTATTAGAACCAATAATGTCACCGAAACGGGACAGCCAATAACATTCCCGGTAAGGGCTGGCATTGCTGCCAATAGCCAGGAAGAATTGCACCATTTAGTGAAAGCTGTCAATGGCACGAATAACAGCACTCTGACCATATGGTCATCTCAAAATGATTACGTAGATGTTGCCAAGCTACGAGAATTGATTTTTTCATTTGGCTTTGATCGTGTATACTTAGATGTACCCGAAGAGCTGTCAAGTCAATTGAATTTGGGACGAACGGAGAATGGTGGTGGTGGAAATGATGGTAATGGTGGTTCAGGTAATGGTGCCGCTACGAGCAGCCCGGCGTTGACGTCTTTGGTGAATTTCAGTTTAATTAGTGCTGGTCTTTATTTGTTTAGTTTGTATTGGGATAAAATTCGTCTCTAAAGTTCGAAGACGGAACTATGATATGAATTTAACGACGTGACTAATCTACCTACTCTATGACGATTTTTAATGACAATATGTGTATGTAATAAAAATTAATTTAAAAAAACTAAATTTGCATCGCATTTAATGACATTAAAATTTTTTAGAATATCAGCCGATCGAATGATAAGGTAAACAGGTCACATTCACAATATAATGGGGTTAAACAAATGTAACTATAGAACTATCGAAATCAAGAAAATTGGCTATGTAGATCCGAATAAAATTGAATGATTTGGTCAATGGTTGGATTAAATCCATTGCAAATTTCAGATCATAAAATTAGCTTCGAAATAGAAAGTAGGAAATAAATTCCAAATGTTTGGTAATCATGTGGCGTTACAATACCTGAAATATCTGAAGCCTTTTTCAGACGAAGATTCTTGTGCTCTGCAATCTGATCTAATCCCAGTCGATTGTCTACCGTTTGATGAGACTGCTAAACCACCAATAAGCTATAATGTCAACTGCTTCAAAAAGTCTGTCATCGAAGAAGCTGGAAAAAAAGGTCACTTTGAAACCGTTTGCAGGATTTCTAAGGAACATCTGGTCGCTAATCCCTTCTATCATTTAGTAGGTCTAATTTAAGAATTGCGCTAAGCATACTGACTGGCCACTGCAACATTAGATTTCTAACCTCAAGATGGGAAAACAATGTTCCCAACTACTATAAACTAAGTGAAGTGAAGTCCCTTATCCAACAAAAACATAGGCCATTTGGCAGGTGAGAGAAAAATTTCCGACATTTAGAGGTAAAACCGATATGGAGATATCACACCAACTTGGGAACTCCCTGTTTCACTCTACGGGCTTTGGACTTCTTTTTCCGGAATTCAACGTACGACTGGCGCCCACACATGTAGTAGATTATCCAATGTTTCAAACTTAGCCGGTAGGTTGCACTCCTTTATCAGTGTGGCGAGATTGACGGTATCAAAAGCCTTTGATTGGTCAAAGACTACTAACACTGTTCTATGATACGGCTAGTTCAGGCTGAGTCCTCGAATGATATGTGTGGATATGGCGTGGAATGCTGTTGTGAATAGAATCCATTTTGATGGTCGGCAACTGCATAGCTTCCTCTATTGATGGAGTGGAGTAAAGCTTCAAGTCTTCGCTGCAGGCGCAACATCGAAATGGGCCGTGTGATTCGTCTTTGCTGGTATCCTTGCATAGCTACAGTAGCAGGACATCGCTGCCTATTTTCAAGCTTCGAAAGCTATGTGAGTGGTTACCGACAGGTTGAGGACTTAAGTGAGATAATTGACTCGGTTTTAACATTACACTGACTTAGCGTTTCGGATGACATTCGCAACTACACCCATTGTAAATTGTGTTGGTATCTCCCCGACGGAAAGATACGACGTAGTAATCTTCGCTTCGACCTATCGCTCTAGGTTGCTCGAAAAATTGTCGATTAAAATGCCACTGATATTTTACCATCCTTTATCTCAGGGTTCGAAGGCGCTTAAACCGTTACCCATCGCTTCCAATGTTGCAAAACTTCAGATGGTCTAGCCCCTTATTCTCTTATGATGCTACAACTGAGTTCAACTGTCAATTCACTGATCCTGAGATCAGAAGGGCTGGAACGACTGCAGCTTTGACGATGCCTCGGAAAATTGTTTCTGTAACTCGAGCATCAGAAGGTTACAGCTATAAATCGGCGGGATATAGACATTAGGTACTTGTAACTCGGTAGGTCCATTCCTGACTGCTACCCCAAACATTCCACGTATGGGTCGCCAGAGGCTAGATCAAGCGAGCTAGACCTGTATTCAATAGAATGGTGTAACAGGAACACTAATTCCCCACCTCCGCTTCTGGTGTGATCCTTCCTCAGTACGTTGTAACCATAGCAACGTTGTAGGCTGCAATTTTCATTCAGCTTGGTTTCATAAATTCCACTATCTCATTAATTTTGCCTCGGAGTCGGTTGAAATTGAATTGAAAGAACGATGCACAATTTCGATTTGGGACAGCAACATGTGGCGTTAGAGTTCCATACTCCGACGACGCCTCTGATGAGGACGACATAATCCCTTCCGCTATAGTCTCACAAACGCCTTAGTCCGGAACAGTTCTTAAAGAGCAGCCATTCTCTACATCCATTACATCGCGCCGAAACAGATCTGTGGTGGATGACGCTCAGACACACCGAGCAAAGTACGGGATTTTCCACAATCCCGGCACGGAGCAATAAAATCCGGAGCAAGCATTCCGGGATATACTGCTCCCAATGCTGACAGCAGCCGCTGGTCGAAACTGGAATGTTGCTGTTTCAGGTCAATCCAGTATCGTAGAACCCGCTGCTGTGGGATTGTGGCTGCAATTGTCATTAAGATTGGTATCCTCTACCACTACGATTAAAATATTCCTCCGATTTATTCCACTATCCTATCTATTTTGCCCCGGAGTCCGTTTCAACTAAATGCAAGAACGATGCACAATCCGAATTTGGAACAGCAACATTCGGGAGACTACATTGGAGTTCCGTGCTCCGACGAAGACTCAGATGAGGACGACGGAAGTGTGGACTCGAGAAACCTGAGTTTGGAAAGCTTTTAACAACAACACAATTGAACTAGTATTGGATACAATTATTGGACAAATTTAAAATAATAAATAACTTTAAATGCAAATATGTCAAAATTTCCTTTTCAATGTCCAATAGAGCCCAAGTGTTTCAAGTCCATTATTGATTTTCAATGTAGTTTCGTTAATCATATTTATTATTTAAAAAAATAAATTCCTTTGGGTTATTGTTGTGTATACAAATTATAAACAGTGTTAAAAATTAGTAACTTAATATGACTTATATTAAACTTTTATAAATAAAAGCCAGTTTATACAGATCAATAAAATGAGGAAAACGATAATATTAATATGACTAAAGTTTAACTTTTGCTTAGAAGCACCAGTATATTTTGTTGGAAGCAATTTTCAAGGGCTTTCTAATGTTAGTAGAAATTTAGGAAAAAGGAAATTAAAATAGGTAATACCATTTTAGACAAATTTCCGTCACAGCAAACCAAAAGTTAGGTAACAAATTTGGCAGCCGAAAACTCAATTAAAACTGTACAAAAATCGAAAATTAAACGGGGACCATAAGGATCTCCTGGTTTGTTTTTAGACGACTAAACCAAAATTTAATAATTACTTTATGGAGGAGCTTCAAAGCCAATGTATACCAGATTTAAAAAATGCATAAAGAGAGCAAAATTAAAAATATCTGAACTTATTGTAAGGTTAGTGAATACGAAATAATACGTAATGGTGGATGCTCTAAATCAACATCTCGGAATTCATGGGTAAAGGATAAAATATAAAAACTAAACACTGTAGCAATAACCCATTCTGAGATCGAGCTGATGACATGGAAATACCAACCGCCATCCGAGGGATACCTTTTGTTTGGGAAATAAATTGAATCATTTTTTTAAAAAAATGTAGAAAATAAAAATAGAATTTATTCCAACTTACCACTTTCTGGGATTTGAGCCTTTGAAGAGAATATGCGACATAATGCCGGTTACGGCCAGCAGTATAAATAGAATCGTGCAACACACAGACATACCCAATCTTAAATGGGCATTCGGCTTGGTGCCGGCTATTGGATAGATCATGTACGAAATCAATGCCTGCATCCAAAAGTATAGAGTGCCAAAGCCGAAGCAACAGAATGCACCAATGAAATGGACCACTCGAACATTGGTCTCCTGGAAGTTGCCCACAATGCTAATGCCCAGGCATGAGATAAAACCAAACCACACCGCTATACGATTATAGCGTAACAAATTATTACCCAAATCAGGATGGTGTTCAAAGAGTTGTAATATTTGGCGATAACGTATATAGATTGTAATGCCCACTGAAAAAAAAAACAATATTTTCACAATTAGTTGTTAATGAATCATGGCACCATAAAATTTTCGAGGGGAATCCCACTCCACCCGCATACTCACATAATACACTGCCAATATTTATCATTTGTCCAAATACACAACTCTCCGGTGAATAGGTGGCCGCATCACTGATATAGGGTACGGTGGGTACAACATGACCTTGCACTACTGCCGCTATGTAACTGCAAAAAAAAAAAGAACCGAAAAATATGTTAACAACAATTTACTAATTTTTCAGTATCCATTAAAAAACAACAACAAAAAACCACAACGCAAAAAAGTCAATCATCATCCTCCCATTCGTGAAACACCAAAACTTACGTTCCCAGAAACGTAACTTGAAATATTAGAAAAACAGCAACTGGTATCAAATAAACTTTAGACATTTCTTATCCTGGCCCCGCGATGCGATAAGAAATAAAAAAACTATCCGCTGCAGTTTGTTACTCTATCGCCGATTTACAACAAATAAAATAATTAAATTTCTTGCAAATGCAGCTCTTTGTTTATGTTTGTTTTCTATTTTACCCCTTCAGGGAGAGAGCGATAGAGAGAATGAGATTTGTTTCATTTGTCAGTGCTGTCAATTTGGCGTTATTTTTAAAATGGTTGTTAGTGGGTGACGGAGTGCAACGTACGTAATGGTAACTTAAGGAACGTATACGTTACACAATTACAATTTACGTTCTATTTTCAAAATTAATCTGTTAGCCGGCATACAAGTAATTCTATGGAAAAACATTTCATGAAATTAAAGTAATTTCATAAAATAAATGACATTAAACTGTTAGGAAAACACTTTGTATAAAATAATTTGATTTAAATGTCTTTTTTTAATAAATTTGTACTTTGGTAATTTAAACCAGTAAAGAAAAGTCAAAAGTCGTGCGAGGCCGGCTATATGATACCCTACACCACTGTGCATATTTAGTAGAGCTCCCGCAACAAAATAATTTATTTGAAGTATATCGCACCACCCATCAACATTTGGCTTTAGAGCAGTTATAGTTTGGTTTCAGGGTGAACTAATATATGGGAGGCATATCCTGAAATCCTGTTAAAATTATTCCACTGACAGCTCATTATATTGTTTATAAGCATACAAAAGCATTTTCGTGAGAATTTTTCAGAAAAAAGGTAATTTTTGATGGAATTCAAGCGTGATAGTGCGATTTCTTTATATTTGTCTGGAAAGCCACAAGTGGCTATCGCTAAAGCACTCCAGCATTTAAATGTGAATAAATCTTTTGTGTCTCGTACCATCGCTCGTTATCGTGTTACTGGAAGCGTAGACCGATGTCAAGGAAGTAGACGGAAGAAAACAGAAACATCAGCAGAAATGGTTCGAAAAGTAAAGAAGTGACTTGATCGAAACCCGCGTCGCAGAGGCCGAATAATGGCTCGTGAGCTGAACATAACGCAAGATTTCATTTGGCAAATATTGAAAAATGAGCTCGGGGTTAAGCCATTGAAATTCCAAAAAGTTCAAGAACTTACATCGCAACAGAAAGAAAATAGACTCAAAAGAGCTAAAGAGTAGCTTCGCTTGGCCGAAAGTGGTGAACGGCCGAATTAGGTTTTCTCCGATGAGAAACATTCGTTGTCCAGCAGTTTATAAACAAAATGATGATCGTCTTTACTTGCCAAAGAGGTTAGCTGAAGATGTGCACCTTCGGTTGGCCACCAGAAATCAAGCACCGGCCATGGTGATGGTGTGGGCCGCCATAACAACCGATGGTCGCTCTCCGCTCGTATTAATCGACCGTGGCATCAGAAAAAATGCCGAATATTATCGCGGAAATATTCTGGAGGGTGTATTAAAGCCTTGGGCATGCAAACATTTTGGCAGCAGACCTTGGACCTTCCAACAGGACTCAGCACCATCGCACTCAGCACGCGCCACCCAAGAGTGGTTACAAAATGAGGTTCCTCGCTTCCTTTCCAGCTCACAATGACTACCAAAATCTCCGGATACCAATCCGTTGGACTATTGTGTCTTGAGTATTTTGGAAAGCAAGGTTGGTACTAAAAAATACCAAAGTGTCGTTCACCTCAAGCATGCGCTTCGCCGGGAATGGATCAAAATACCGCAGAGCAACATTCGGGCAGCGTGTAACGGTTTCATTGGCCGTTTGAAGGCCATAATTCCTGCCAAAGGTGACCAATTCCAATAAATCTAAATTTATTCTAAAATTTTATGCTATTTCCGATATTTTTTGCTTTCATTCAAAAATTTTTTTGAAAAAATGTAAAAATTATGGCGTTTGACTTTGTTGCAGTTTTTTTTATCTCACCCTGTATATATGTGAGCTATAGCTAGATCTGAATCGATTTTCTCCAAATTACATATACTTGCTTCTAGACTGAATTCGGTCGGATGTACTAAAATTCAGGACTTGTTACAATCCCTGATATGGCGGCGCTAGAATGGACCATCCGACTGGCTTGCGTGCTCAGGGCCTCGGTTCTCAACCATCCATATCTAACACCTCAGGGCGAACATACATTTTTCTTTGAAGAGACAAACAAACAACATAAATAAAATTTAGAAGCAAGATAACTGTTTTGATAAAGGGATATTGAGATTTTTATCCCTACATTCGCCCGCCCTTCCATGGTTTCCAAGTCTCCACTTTAAAATTTACTGGAAACCCCACAAGACACTCACACTCACCTCATCACCTTACTCCAAGGGAAACCCCCCCGCTTACTAACAGATCACCACATATTTCTTTCACGAACCAAACATTAAAACATTTATTTTATAAAAGGTTTCTTAAAACTAATTTCGTTTTTTTCTAATTGTTTAATCTTTCTCTTTTTTTTTTTTTAACGGAATATCTAACACCAGTTTAGCGAGAGACTATTGCTTTTTATTCACGCAAATTTTATTACCAAATGCCTACCCTAAGAGAGCTCGCTTAAGATGGTTATTCCTGGGCCAAAATGAACAATTCTAATACCCGACCTCTCTGAAATCGCACACAAACTTGTGATTACTATCCTGGCGTTAAAAATCCTTACAGTTGAAATCACTTAAACTCTAGGACATACACAAAGACAACACAATTTTAACACTAAATACATATACGTTGTTTAATGGTTAATTAATTATTAAAATTTAGGCTTGTTTGACAATTGCATCTTAATTGATGTCTTTTTTTAAAAACATTAAAATTTTCTTCTTTTCTTGTTTTGCAGGAAACCGCCGACGCACTCTTAGCCCCTTTGTTATATATCTTATAAAATTCAAATTCTAAGGGTTACCTTGCGCTCCAGCCTTGAATGTGTGGCAATTGGTAATACCTTAACCCCGATGCACACTGACTAATCCAAACCAACGCACAGGTATCGTAGTGACTGGCAATTGGTGGATAAGGCTGACACTACCGGCACTTCAATTTTTCTATAGAAAGGATGATGATGCGGGTGATGCTTCCTAGTAATTTGCTGCCACAACCCCAAAATTACGGTAGAAATACTGGGTGAAAGACGAATCACTGGCCCCACTTCTGGAATACCTGAGGCCAGTAATGTTGGTGATTATGTTCAGGAAATTCTATGGCACAACAAACTTGGTAAGTAATATTCATTAATTTTTCCCATGATTTCAACAACTTACTTTGGTCGTTATTCCCATAAAATAAATATAAAAACAAACAACAACCAACTGTCTTTTCATTTAAAAATTGCGGCACAAACACTTTCAAATTACTTCCACTTCAAAGTTTAAGCCGGCACTCAATGGCGGTTACTGCACAAATCAACCCGCTCTTTGCTGCATCGTGCCTTTTATAGGACATTGAAATTTCCACCATTTTCCCCAACTTTCCACGACATTTTTGATAACATACACATCTAAGAACCAATATTACTTTGTTTACATCTACATTGACGATACTACCCTCACTAAATGGCCGACTATCAGCGTTGATAAAACCAGTACTGAATTTTACACTGAACAATAACCCATTTCGCTTTGATATGGCAACGCTTGCCGTTTCCCCTTTCCATTCAGTTTTTCGATTCACATGATGCACAAGTGCATCCAACATGTTAATACAATTTCCTACGTCTTTTCTGGTATTGCCCGCAGCGCAATTCTTTTCCGGGTATGTATTTATTCCCTTAATAATAATAGTATTTTTTCTCTTTTTTTTTGGTGCGCCGCCACTAACTTTGAACATCGCCGCCCTCAACTGACCCGCCCACAAAACATCGACCATTGCTGAGGATATTTCGCAAGGGACGATGTGCGTGACACCAATTTCCTAACGTGGGGAACTCCCACACCCTGGAGTCTCCATGCCGGGCCTGGATTCTATAAAAAAAGGTAAATTTCATATTGCATTAGGGATAACTCATTCACCTTATCGCATACATTGTAGTACACACATACTACGCTGCCAGTATTTACGACAGCGAACCCTATCGGTACTAATAAGCTTTGATTGGCAATGCGAACATATCTTCCTGAATGAATGGAGAAGAAGAAGGAGAATTATTTTTTTCTTTTACATTCGTTTCGATTGATCGAAACATATTTAACCTCATTTTAAAATATTTATAACTTACTGTTTTCTTCTCGTAATATTTTCAGATTTATTCTCCTTAGGAGACTTTTGGCCTTATATTGGTTGCGTAAGTATAAATGCCATTCATTACTAGTTTTTAAATACTTGTATAAACATTTCTTTGTTACAGGTATGGATGTTGGAGGTCAGTCCGTCCACGGACACACACAAGTTAACATTATTTATTCTTGCCACCAATGATCGAATTTGCTGCTACAAGGGCGTGTGTGCTTTCCACATTTCATGATCGCCACACCCAAAGGAGATCAGCCCACGAAACAGGATGCCGATTCTTTGTTGTGGATGTGTTATGGTTTTTTTCGTGTGTTACAATATGCAGTCTATCCGTTTAGTAATGCCCTTATTATACCCTCAGCCATATGATTAGTTTCCGGACATTTGGCACGATAACTCTCGAAAGGTATATCCGATTTCGTCCAAACTTGGTACATCGTAATATTATTATCAAACTTAGATCAAGACGGGCAATATCGGTCCACTCCTTCTAGTACCTCCCTCACATAGGGTCACATCACCCCTATTAATGGAATCAAGTAAGCGGAACTTATCAAACTTGATGAATGTTTCTCTCAACCAGGTGTTTGATGTGAATAAGGCATTTATCGGACCACTCCGGGTACCTCCAAATTTCAAATTTTGATTACCAATTATTTGATTTTCTTTGACATTTACAGGTCCCAATGTTCGTACCAGTATCTGGCAAAGTGGAAAATTATGGCATATCTTTTATAAAAAGCAGGAAGAAGTACATGTAGTCCAAATCTGGCGTGTTATAATATTTATATCAGAATAAGCTATGGAATGAGCAATATTGCTTGACACTTTCGGAACGTCCCTCATAATTGGTCAGCATACTAGAAGGACCATCCTGAGCTGAGGGTATATATCAGTCGGCAAAACCAACAAGGCGATACTCCCGTGGACACAACCTTTTCTTTATTTTGATTGCCGAGAAAAAAAAAAACAGACGATGTATCCCACATAGCCCAAGGAAATTCTTCGGGTAAGTTATACCTTTGTAGATGATAATAAATTATGACACGGACCGGAATTCTTCAAAAAGATTGGAAATAATGCACCGCCAAGAGGTTAATGAACCAAGATGCAAAAGCATTTCACCACCCCAACAGGGATATCTTCATACCAAGAATTAGGGAAAAGTGCAATATTGGGTACAGAGTTTGTGGAAGAAAAGGAATGAAATAATGAAAGTTTTTAAAAAAATGTGTTTTAATTTCTGATACCTTATCACTTAGCCATTTCAAAAAAAAAAGAATGTTTGCCCACTTAGTGGGAAATCCTTTCCAATGCTGTTGAGGCATTCACAAACAGTGCCCATATAATTCAAATGAATTGTTTAAATTATACCCAACTTAAGTTTTTATATTGGTTTGTTCTGCATTTCCGCATAAAAAATATGGTGTACTAGTGATATCTATGGGGAAGGTGAGGAAAGTTGATACTATTTTCATTTCAAATTATACAATTTACATATCGACTATCTCGCTCATTACTTCAAAATTCGATCGAGTCGTACTGTATCGTCGATATAGGGCATCTTTTAAAGAAGGCCAATCCTTCACTACACCGGTCTTAATCTGTAACCAGTACCACTCATAAGCGCTGCCCGAGAGTAAAGACTGGAACTCGGCAAAGATTTCTTCCCATGACACCCTGTATTGGTTTTTTAGGTATTCGAGTCGAAACACGAAATCTTCAACAGACATGCCAGACTGATTACCATCGAATCTCAACTTGAATTTCTCAACTTTACTTGTTCTATCCAAATTGGGACCGTGATTTGCAAACATCATATTATTCGGTTGCATCTCTGGATGTCTGTTGGTTTCGATTATGGGAGGTGGATTTGGAAACGAAAATGGGATATTGTTAGGTTGATTGTTCAGAGCGTTTGTGCCAATATTCAAATTCTTTACTATGTCTCCTAATTTCCCAATGGCTTCATACACTTTTTTCATTTCCATTCCTATACACTCCTGCACTAGTGGCCTTAAATTTATTTCAGCATTGGTTACTCCGGCATCTACCATTTCCCTTAAAACATTGTTCATATCGTCATTAGCTGGCGTGGAACTATGAGAAGAACTAGTCGGGTTACCATTAGGAAGCATATTGTAAGTATTCGAATTGGGGTTAGGAGTAGCGTTAATAGTCTGGGACATATCAATTATAGATGGATTATTAACAGGAGGTGGATTTACCATTGTGCCAATCTTATCCTTTTTCCTATATTTCGGCAATGTTTGCACCGATATTCTACTAGCATCAAAGGACGCCGTGCGGTTTCTTTTGCTTCGACGATTTGTTTCAAATAAGTTTTCTTCACTCATTGGCAAATGCTTACGATTCTACCAATCTTTGAATGAAAACTTTGAATTCTTTTACGTTTTCCAATAATATTGTTTACAAAAAATTAATAAAAAAGACGAAAATTATACTTTACAAAAAAAATAATATATCTATATATGAAGTTATCAAGAATTTAGTCACACTAAAAAAAAAACAATTTCTAATTTCAAACAGAACAATTTCTAACGTCTAGGGGTTCTCCTTGCGATGGGTTGTGAGGTGTGTGTCTAAATAATTATATATATATATATATATATTTTTTTTTTTTAAATGTCCTTTCGGTTATCAAAACAGTTAAATACGAACACTAACAAAACACATATTTTTTTGAATTTTTCTTTCGACTGTGTCTTTACGGCAATTTCCCTTCTGTCTGAAAGAAAAAAGATCTCGTAAACGGGAGAACAACCAACATCTGCTTTTGTTCACATACACGTTGTCCATTTCCCCTAGTCGAAATTCCTAACTATTGCAGCTACTTATTAGAATCAAAACACAAAAGACAGGTCATTCACAATACATTCATTGTTACACACTAGACGAACAAGTTATTGCATCGACCGTTCTTATTATTATGGAAGTATTATACTAAATATCCTATTTTACCTTAAAACTAATATTGCACATTAACATGTTTTCAATAACAAAAACATGGCTCAATATCAGTCAGGTCCCAGGATATTGCTATAATACTTATTACTATTACTTTTCCCTATGGTCTATTTTTATTGCACGTAGGTGGTATTGCACAAAAATTATCCTATCTCAGTTCTAAATGAACTTAATTTTTTTTTATTTTGGGCGCCATCTGTTACAATCCCTGATATGGCGGCGCTAGAATGGACCATCCGACTGGCTTGCGTGCTCAGGGCCTCGGTTCTCAACCATCCATATCTAACACCTCAGGGCGAACATACATTTTTCTTTGAAGAGACAAACAAACAACATAAATAAAATTTAGAAGCAAGATAACTGTTTTGATAAAGGGATATTGAGATTTTTATCCCTACATTCGCCCGCCCTTCCATGGTTTCCAAGTCTCCACTTTAAAATTTACTGGAAACCCCACAAGACACTCACACTCACCTCATCACCTTACTCCAAGGGAAACCCCCCCGCTTACTAACAGATCACCACATATTTCTTTCACGAACCAAACATTAAAACATTTATTTTATAAAAGGTTTCTTAAAACTAATTTCGTTTTTGTTGAGAATTGAATCAAATATTGTACTTTAGCATAAAACACTTTGTCCAATATTATTAACATAATCTTAATAGGCTTTGATATCAATATGTTTGTTGTCAAATATGTATTCTCAGTTTTTTCAGTTCAATAAACGAATTCAATTATAACAGGTTATGGGCCTTAGTCACGTTTGAAAAAAATATTCGGCAAAACAAAATAGATACATTTTTTAATATTGAAAACTAGTGACGTTTGTGAAAAAAAATTAAAATGGCTGGTAATAACATAGCTTTTCCGCTAGAAAGATTGCGTGGACGCGAAAACTTTGATGTTTGGAAGAGGCAAGCGCAATCATATCTGGTCATTAAAGGGTGCTGGAAGGCATGTGTTGATAATACCGCTGATGCTGAATTGAATGCGAGAGCTTTAGCCGAGATAACATTGATGATTGAACCAGACAATTACGGCCACATTGCAACTTCAACTACCGCGAAAAATGCCTGGAGTGCATTGATGAATGCGTACGAAGATACGGGCCTTACCAGAAAAGTTGAATTGCTGAAGCAATTTGTGAACATCAAGCTACAGAACTATGGATCCATTCAGGAATACGTCAATGACATCGTTATAGTGGCTATTAAAGTGAAAAATGCTGGCTTAAACATTGACGATGAGTTGACTGCATCTCTAATGTTAGCTGGATTAACGGATGACTTTAAACCGCTTGTGATGGCCGTGGAAAATACCAAGGAGAAATTGACGGTGGATAAGGTGAAGAATGTTCTACTTCAAGATGCGAAATTCGATCGAGCTCCAGAAAAAGAATCGGCGTTACAATCTAAAGGTATCAAGAAAGGTAAGAAGCAAATCAAATGCTACAATTGCAGTGGACTTGGACACATCTCAAGAAATTGTCCCAGCAAATTGAAGCCAAATGACAATGGAGCTACAAGGAAGCATGAAAAGAAGTCGGATGTTTTATTTGCTACAACTACCGATGTGAGCGCGTGTGCAAAAGCTACGGAATCCACTTCAAGTTCAGATTGTTTAAATGCCTGGTACGTTGATAGTGGAGCAAGCAACCACATGACGAATGAGAAGAACCACATGTACAACATCCGTGATGTTTTTAATAAAAAGGTGATTATTGCGAATAAGCATGAACTCGTAGTGGACTCCATTGGATATGTTGATATTGAAGTTGGCTCTGGAAAAAATAAGAGATGTGTTACAATCAAAGACGTGGAGTATGTTCCAGATTTGTGTACCAACTTACTCTCCGTTCGACAAATGGCTAAGAATGGAAAAAGGGTGACTTTTGAAGGTGAAAAATGCCGCATTTCTGATAAAAATGGACGTGTTATAGCAACGGCAACTGCGCAGAATCAATTGTACCGGTTAGAATGCAATTCGAAAGAGGAAAAGGGTAAAGCTTTTACCATGGCCAATGATTTCAATTTGTGGCACCGAAGGATGGGGCATATCTGTAATGCGAAACTGGGTGATGTCAAGAGCGCAAATGTTGGCATAAATTTTGGCAAAGAATGTTCTGAACCATGTGTTGTCTGCGTGAAGGGAAAGCAAACCCGAAAAGTGAGTAGAGAAGTCGGTACTCAAGCCAAAGAGCTATTGGAAATTATTCATTCGGATGTTGTTGGTCCACTAAAAGAAAGTTCGTTCTCGGGAGCTCGTTTTTTGTTGACATTTGTGGATGACTACTCAAGAAAACTGTTTGTCTATCCAATCAAGAAAAAGTCTGAGGTATTTCCGAAATTTTTAGAATTCAAGGCTTTAGTGGAAAACCAGTGTTCTAAAAAAATCAAGATTCTACGATCGGATAATGGGGGTGAGTACACCGGCAAACATTTTTCTGAATTCTTGGAAAAAAGTGGAATAATACATCAAAAAACATGTCCATATACACCCGAGCAAAATGGTGTAGCCGAGCGAATAAATAGGACGATTATAGAAAGGGTAAGATGTATGCTTATCGACAGTGGATTAGATCAACGTTTTTGGGCAGAAGCTGCTTCTACCGCATCGTACTTGATAAATAGAGTGCCATGCCGAGGAAATGAAGGATGTCCCGAAGAACTATGGTCGGGTCGAAAACCAAATTTGAAGCATCTTAGAGTCTTCGGATGTCCAGCTTTGGTCCATGTACCAAAACAACGAAGATCTAAAATTGATCCAAAGTCATTAGAATGTATCATGGTTGGATACAGCACGGAAAGTAAAGCGTATCGATTATTTGATCCAAGTGATCAAAAAATAATTGTTAGCCGTGACGTGGTATTTCTTGAAAATGTTCACTCAAACATTGAAACGCCATCTTCTAATCTGTACAATCCTTTGCTAATTCAATCTCCAGATGAAGAAATGGATAATGTTTTGAACCAAACAGTGAATAATGTATCAACGAATATGGAGTCAACCGAATTGGATGGCAATAATGTAATTCAAAATGAGCCTCGTAGTGATTCTGAAACTGATAGTGAGTTTTTGGATCCAGAATGTTTTGATAACAATGGCTATGTGGACCCAAATGATGAAGAATGGGAACCAAATCAATGTAATTCACGACCAATACCAACGTCTGAAAATATTAGAAGATCAGAAAGGATAGCAAACCGTAATCAACGATCAACGGCATTTTCTGCAATAGAATATGTTTCTTCAGACCCCCAGACTATAAAACAGGCAATGTCGTCTGAAGATTCTGAACATTGGAAAAAAGCCATGCAAGATGAAATGAATTCTTTGAAAGTCAATAATACTTGGACTTTGGTTCAACTTCCTGAAGGATGCAAAGCTCTGAAGTCAAAATGGGTGTTCAAGACCAAGCAAGATTCCAATGGAAACACGTTGCGATGGAAAGCAAGACTAGTCGCAAAGGGATTTACACAGACTGAAGGTATCGATTATATGGAAACATTCTCTCCAGTTGTTCGGTATGAATCAATAAGGTATTTAGCAGCATTGGCAGCAAAATATGACATGAAGATTCATCAGATGGATGCCGTTAGCGCTTATTTAAACGGGATTTTAAAAGAAACCATATATATGGAACAACCCGAAGGTTTCCGTGATGCTTCTAATAAAGTCTGTAAGCTTAACAGATCCATATACGGCTTGAAACAATCTGGGAGAGTATGGAATGAAACCATAAACAAGGAACTTATCGATATGGGTTTTGTACAAGGAGAAGTGGATCAATGCGTATATTCAAAGGTGACAGATGAAAAGAAGATTTATATTGCAATATACGTAGATGATGTAATTATATTCTCCAATGACGAAAACGAAATAAATTCTGTCAAGAATACACTTTCAAGAACATTTAAAATGAAAGACATGGGGGAAGTGTCTAATGTTCTTGGTATGACAATATCCCGAACTGAAGATGGAATCAAAATTGATCAGTCTAAGTACATATCAGATGTATTGACACGTTTCGGAATGAATGACTGTAACCCTTCCTCAACTCCAATGGACTATAATAAGAAGTTATACGAAAGTATGTCCCCTAAAACCGAAGTTGAAAAGGAAAAAATGTCGAAAACACCGTATATGGAAGCTATTGGGTGCTTGTTGTACGCTGCTCAGGTTTCGCGCCCTGATATATACTATGCTGTGAATATCCTGAGCCGATTCGGAATAAATCCTGGTAGAGCGCATTGGGAAGCTGTAAAAAGAATAATGCGTTATCTCAAAGGAACTATAGAACAAGGGCTCATCTATAAGAAAAATTTAGAAGAAGATATTACCGGCTATTGCGATGCAGATTGGGCTGGAAGTTTGGACGACCGCCATTCGACAACTGGTTATGTCTTTATTTTTCAATCAGCAGCAATATCCTGGTCCACAAAAAGACAAAAAACGGTGGCACTATCTTCAACGGAAGCTGAGTTCATGGCAATAACTGCAGCTATACAGGAGTCTGTTTGGTTGAAACGACTAGAAAAAGAACTCAATCCCAACAACAATGTCAACATGGTTTTGTATTGTGATAACAAAGGAGCTATACAAGTGGCTACAAATAACAAGTATTCGTCAAGGACAAAGCATGTGGATATTAAAGCCAAATTTATCAAACAGAAAATTGACAACAATGAAATATCTTTGAAGTATCTTTCAACAAAAGAAATGGTTGCTGACGTTTTTACCAAGGCAGTAACTCCACAGAAGTTGGAATATTTTAAAGGAGTTTTTGGCATTGCTTAGTTTCCAACTTGTATTGTTTTGTAATTATAATGTAAGAAATATTTAATTCAGGTAGAGTGTTGAGAATTGAATCAAATATTGTACTTTAGCATAAAACACTTTGTCCAATATTATTAACATAATCTTAATAGGCTTTGATATCAATATGTTTGTTGTCAAATATGTATTCTCAGTTTTTTCAGTTCAATAAACGAATTCAATTATAACAGTTTTTTTCTAATTGTTTAATCTTTCTCTTTTTTTTTTTTTAACGGAATATCTAACACCAGTTTAGCGAGAGACTATTGCTTTTTATTCACGCAAATTTTATTACCAAATGCCTACCCTAAGAGAGCTCGCTTAAGATGGTTATTCCTGGGCCAAAATGAACAATTCTAATACCCGACCTCTCTGAAATCGCACACAAACTTGTGATTACTATCCTGGCGTTAAAAATCCTTACAGTTGAAATCACTTAAACTCTAGGACATACACAAAGACAACACAATTTTAACACTAAATACATATACGTTGTTTAATGGTTAATTAATTATTAAAATTTAGGCTTGTTTGACAATTGCATCTTAATTGATGTCTTTTTTTAAAAACATTAAAATTTTCTTCTTTTCTTGTTTTGCAGGAAACCGCCGACGCACTCTTAGCCCCTTTGTTATATATCTTATAAAATTCAAATTCTAAGGGTTACCTTGCGCTCCAGCCTTGAATGTGTGGCAATTGGTAATACCTTAACCCCGATGCACACTGACTAATCCAAACCAACGCACAGGTATCGTAGTGACTGGCAATTGGTGGATAAGGCTGACACTACCGGCACTTCAATTTTTCTATAGAAAGGATGATGATGCGGGTGATGCTTCCTAGTAATTTGCTGCCACAACCCCAAAATTACGGTAGAAATACTGGGTGAAAGACGAATCACTGGCCCCACTTCTGGAATACCTGAGGCCAGTAATGTTGGTGATTATGTTCAGGAAATTCTATGGCACAACAAACTTGGTAAGTAATATTCATTAATTTTTCCCATGATTTCAACAACTTACTTTGGTCGTTATTCCCATAAAATAAATATAAAAACAAACAACAACCAACTGTCTTTTCATTTAAAAATTGCGGCACAAACACTTTCAAATTACTTCCACTTCAAAGTTTAAGCCGGCACTCAATGGCGGTTACTGCACAAATCAACCCGCTCTTTGCTGCATCGTGCCTTTTATAGGACATTGAAATTTCCACCATTTTCCCCAACTTTCCACGACATTTTTGATAACATACACATCTAAGAACCAATATTACTTTGTTTACATCTACATTGACGATACTACCCTCACTAAATGGCCGACTATCAGCGTTGATAAAACCAGTACTGAATTTTACACTGAACAATAACCCATTTCGCTTTGATATGGCAACGCTTGCCGTTTCCCCTTTCCATTCAGTTTTTCGATTCACATGATGCACAAGTGCATCCAACATGTTAATACAATTTCCTACGTCTTTTCTGGTATTGCCCGCAGCGCAATTCTTTTCCGGGTATGTATTTATTCCCTTAATAATAATAGTATTTTTTCTCTTTTTTTTTGGTGCGCCGCCACTAACTTTGAACATCGCCGCCCTCAACTGACCCGCCCACGCAACAGACTTTAGGACTGATATTAGCCATTTGGTTTATAATTAACCCGAAATCGGTTGAAGATATATATGGGACCTATATCCAAATCTGAACCGATCTTAATAAAATTTGGCAGAGATATTTCTGGGCTGTATCTAGTAACTGGTACCAAAGATCATTGTTGTGGAATGCATATTACGCTTGTGAGGGACTTTGAACTACAAATCGAGGGACTTAAAACCCCAAATCGGATGAAACATATACAGGGTTGCCTATATTCGACGGACCCATCTGGCAACGCCATAACTTTTGACAGAGATGTCACATCGCGTAATGACATACCGCGTTTGAAGCGTCAGTCCAAGCAGGTTTTTACCATGAGCGCTCTGAAATAGTTGAAATTCACATTCAACAGAAAAAGTCAATAGTGAAAACTCAACGTGCTTTTAAAACATTAAAAAATGTGAGAAGTGCGCCTTCTAAGGGACCGTAAATAAGCAAACTTGCCGTTTTTTATGCCACTGAAAATCCTCAGGATTTTCGCATAACAAAACATGGGTCCGTCGAATATGGGCAACCCTGTATATGGGAGCTATAGCTATATCTGAACCGATTTTCTCCAAATTTGATTTACTTGCTTGTGATTGAATTCGGTGGGATGTACCAAAATAGAGAAATCGGTTGAAGGTATGTGGGAGCTTTATCTAAATCTGATCCGATTATTATTTTTTACACGAACTTCTATCTGTTTTACCCGAAGATCTGTCTATGGTATACATTTCAAACACAGACTCCAACATAATTGTATTTTTTCCCATTTTCTTCGGAATTTAACACCTTTTTCTGGTTGCGCCTCTACTTGCACGTTTACGTTGCATTTACGTGTACGTAAACGGTACGTACGCATGTTACTAGTTTCACTAATCACGATTTGATTTTGCAAAAACAATTGTTGAATTTGCATTAGCGGCTGATGATGGGTGATAGGAGAACTCGAATTGTCATTCAAAGATAAATAAACGTTGGTTGGCTGCTGAAAAGAATACACGTATAGCCGGGAGAGAGGCTAGTGAACCCTACAACATACCAGACGTGCTGTTTTAAGTTTCTATTAAAAATTATTTAAAAAAAGTTAGAATCATAAGAAAAAGACCTCCAAATTGCATAATTTTGCAATGGAGGATCCCGATTCTCTTCCCCCCGACATGGAGTTTGATGTCACGGAAGAGATCGCATCAACCTCCAAACAATTGCCGGCTTTTGCAAACTCCACTAGTATGCAAGAAAACAAGACAAAACAGAACGAACGCAAGAGACTGCGCCTAGAAAGTGCAATATCATCAATAAATGTATCGGATCTGGCTGAGAAATTAACCAACTACAACCCGCAGGACCAAAACAAATTTGGCATTTTGGGGGCATTGGCAGACATTGACATTTCCACACCTGTCAGCAATCCGACCACAACCAAAATCAATGTTCCTCCAAAACCAAAAATCTCTTGGTGCCCACCGATTTTTACATACAATGTCAACATAAACTCTCTAGTAGAGTCATTACGTGCCGCATCCCCACAGTGCAATTTTAAAATTAAAAATATAAATAAAAACAAAAGTAACTTGTACTTTGCAGATTCTAAAGTTCATGCCTCAATGATGGATCTTTTAAAGTCAAAAAATATTCAGTCATACTCTTTCACACCCAAGGATCAAAAGCAGACATCCCTGATAATCCGAAACCTCTTCTCTCTAACTGAACCAGAAGCAATTAAAAACGAACTAGATCAGTTAGTTCCTGAAACAGTGGCCAGTGTCTCAAAATTTAGAACACCGACATCAATTAAAAACAACACTGATACGGGTCTTTTCTTAGTTTGCTTATTGCCAGGAAAGAAGTTTGGCGAAATTTCACATATTCGCCAACTGCAATACCAATCCATAATCTGGGAGAAACCCAAAAAAAGGGATACCTTTGTCCAATGCCGAAGATGTCAAGGGCACGGACATATAGCACGTAATTGCAATTGCTCTTACAGATGCGTTAAATGTAAAGACAAACATCTTCCTGGAGAATGTAAACGGTCCAAGACAGACACCTCGGAACCTTACTGTGTTAATTGCGAAAAAACAGGTCATCCCGCCAACTGGCGAGGATGTCCCTCCTATAAAAAATATGCCTCCGACAGGAAAAAAAAGATGGCAGTAGCATTAGAAAACAGAGCTCTAGCTCAAAACAATGTATCAAAAGCATTAAACACATCCAAATATTCACCGGAAAAAACTTTTTCAAACTTATTTAAAAGTGTCACATCTATTCCCCAAGATTCAACCAAAAAACCACAAATAATTCAAGACTTCCTTAAGCTAGCAAATCTTTTTTTGGAACCTGAAGAGCTGACCTTAGAGCAAGAAATTCAAATATTCCTAACAGAATATAAAAACTTGTCAAAAACCGAAGCAAAAAAACAATTTTTAATGCTTCTTAATAAAGTTAAATTGAATTATGGACCATAGATCACTAAAATTTCTTACTTTCAATGTACGATCCCTTGTGGATAGAAGTCGACAAATAGAATTAAAAAACACACTACTTCACAATAACATCGATATAGCATTCATCCAGGAATGTCATCTCAGATCCAACATGCGTGTCAAAATAAGTGGATACACTTTTGTCTACGATAATTCTCCCACTGGAGTTGCAATTTTCATCAAGGACTCAATTCAATTCAAGAGAGTTTCCGTTCCGGCCACTGGCATTAATACGACACTTATAGAAATCTCATCTAACAATTCAACAAAAAAATACCTTCTGGGATCGGTATATATCCCGTGCAGTTATCCTGTACAGCGCCTCGATCTTGATCTGAATACATTACTTCAGTTATCTAGCAACTTTGATGGTTTCATCTTTGGAGGGGACTTAAACTCCAAAAGTCCAACATGGGGCGACTCCTACGAAAACTCAAATGGAAGAGTCTTGAGGTCCTGGTTATCAGATAATTCCATGGATGTCATCAGGATATGCGATACTAGCCCATCGTATCCAAGTGGTACCTCTTACCTGGATCATTTCCTACTCAGCAACCATTTAATCAACAGTAGAAATCCTAACTATTCTATATCCACTAGACCCACTTTCTCGGATCATTTCCCCATTAAGTTAGACCTAAAACTAGATCATTTAAACATCGATTTGACGCCTCCGCAATTCTTCACATCTTATAAAAACACTAATTGGCATAACTTTCGTCAGGACATAGACGTTATCTCACGTCAAATAATGCCTTCCATCAATAGGAACCTGACCAATGACGAGATTGATACCACTCTAAACGATTTTAAGAGTCATTTTTCCAACATCCATGAAATACACTCCGAAAAATTTAAAATAGAGGATAGGAGCCTACCATACTCGGACAAAATCAAGAAAATCCTACAAATTAAACATCAATGGCAACGAAATCTCAAAAAAATCTTCCATCGTTCAGGCAACAGGACAAGCCGTGAGTACTCCATTCTTTCTAATCAAATTCAGCTCTTGAAAATAATAATAAAGGAGCTAGTCAAAATAGAAACAGCCCAAATATTTAATGATAGATTGAAAAAAATCAAACCTAGTCCGTCCGCCTTTAAAGAAATATACCGATTTACAGGAAGCAATAAATCATCTTTCTGCCGTCAGATCAACCATGCTAACAACACTATTACAAACAGTAACGAGATTGCAGATCATTTTAAGAATTTTTATTCCACCATATTTGAAGGCTCAACAACACTTCCTGCCTCAGATGAGCATAATTCTACGCTATTAACATGTATCAACTCAACATCAACTCATATATATTCATTCGATGAAAATTTTAATTCTCTCCACAATCCAGACACATACCACTTTACTTCATCTGAAAATATAAAAAACATTATTTTCAACATCAATTCAAAAAAATCTAGCGGCCCTGATGAAATCTCAAACTTTATAATCAAGAGATTTCCAGAATCCACAATTAATTTACTCACGTGCCTTTTCAATAATTGCATTAACAACGGATACTTTCCCAAACAATGGAAAGTTGCCAAAATCATACCCATCAAGAAGAAAACAACAAATTGCAACGTTGATGACTTTCGCCCAATTTCCCTTTTGTCAAATATTGGTAAAATACTGGAAGTAGTGCTGAAAGAAAAATTAAACAATGAATTAACTATTGATCCAATATCAAACTACCAATTTGGCTTCAAATCTGGACATTCCACTCAGCACGCACTTCTCAAGTTTCATAACGACGTAACAACAAACTTAAGGAGTCAATCATGCACAGTTGCAATATCATTGGATATACAAAAAGCGTTTGACTCAGTGTCTCACCTCGGTATTTTGTTCAAATTAATTCAACTTGGAGTAGATCCATTTATTATAAAAATGCTAAAGAGTTTCTTCACTTCTCGTAAATTTATGGTTCAGATCCGGAATACATCATCATCCTTGGGCCATGTAAATAGCGGCGTTCCTCAAGGTAGTATCTTGGCACCATACCTTTTTAACCTGTTTCTTCATGACTTTCCACACATGTATCAACATTCCAAAGCAATCCTGTATGCAGATGATTGCATAATCTACGCACATAATCCTTCGCCAGCCATTGCCCTGAGTGTTGCTTCAGAACACCTACACATAATCAACAACTTTTATAAACAATGGGGTATTAAAATAAATGCCGCTAAATCGGTAGCCATATGCATACGTAATGCGTCGGGCAAATGCCCACGAAAAGTTGTACCAGAAAGCAAGCAATTAAAATTGTCTTTAGAAGGAGTAGAAATTCCTTTCAGCACATCCTTAAAGTACCTTGGTGTAACATTCAATCATCTCCTAAAATTCAACGACCATGCTCGTTCCATCATGCAAAAAGTTAAAGGTATATTAGCGAGTTTTTCAAACATCCTTAACAGCAATTATTTACCTCAAAACACCAAGCTGCTCCTATATAAGGTGGCAATTAGATCTATCCTAACATACGCATTTCCAATCTGGTTTCCTATTTCCCCAATAGTTGCCAACGAATTGGAAATCCTGGAAAGAAAGGTCTTAAGAAAATGCACAAACAAATATTATCAATCTCATCACAAAAAATTCTCCAATACTTACATATACAAAATCTCTAATGTTGTGCCATTTTGTAAGTACGCCCAACAACTTCAAAGGAAGTTTGTAGAGAAATTGGCTACTCACGAAAACCATATTGTAAGCGAAATCCACGAAATCGAGAAAAATATATCCTGGTCAGATTCGTCATATCTGTCTACCGTGGGTATTCTCAACGAACCTACTGAAGATGTCGCAGATGACTATACCTTACCACGCTTCTACATTAAATCAGTACCTGGAACCCACAGAGGTTAATCAGTAAAATTAGTTAATTATAATAATTCATTATTTGTTACAAAATATATACACTTTTACTTTTAAGCAGCCTATACTGTAGATCTCTCTTTATGAGAATTCGATTTATTAGCTGAGAACTTACTGTGATATTCAAAGAATAAGAAATTTTTATGTATAATTACACATTCTGTGTAAGAGCACTGACTGTCACTCCGTTTTGATGTCATATTTTGTTAACTAGTTTTAAGATTTTGTTAATTATTTATTTATTATACACAGTCATTAGCACTGTTAGTTACAGTTGAGGCCGGGAGCAAGCCTTATATACTTCATTCATTGTTTACATTTTGTGTAATGATTTCACAATTCGCATGTAGCATATTATACACTTTCATTGTACGTTAGAATAAGACAACAATAGTTCTAACAGTCTCAATTCATGTTAATCGTTCACTTTGTATTTAAATGTACCATCGAAAAGAAGAAGACTCAATAAAGTAACTTACTTACTTACTTACTTACTTGGTTGGCTGCTGTCACACATGCTTTGCTTGGTGTGTTCGGTATCGATTTTCTTTTATTTTTGTGCGGTGGCTGGCAGTCTGTGCGTTAACTGGTGGTTATAAAATGTAATTTGCAACATGTAAACAAGAAGCTATAAATAAGTGATTCAACTAAATATAGAAACAAGTGAAGAAATTGCGTGAAGAAAATCTTAAAAAAATCTTACTTAACAAAGAATAAAATCAAAAATTAAATGTCAAGAACGACTACAAAATAAATAAGTGTGCTTTGAATTTAAAGCCAAATACAAAATTAGCCGACATAACAAAAAATAATCCCAACACAACTCGCAAATATTGTTGCATTAATTGCAAGTGGGTGTTTTTCTATTCCATTCTGTTTTTTTTGCCACAAAACCAATTAAAATTTCAATGTCAACAAATCCCCCAAAAGAATCAACCAACCAACCTTCCCATCAAATTTGTTGCAAAGCCTAAAAAAGAATCAATCAAAGGAAATTATCTGTGTGTATTCAGTGAAGTGTGAGAGGGGTAAGTGCAGTAAATAATGCAATCAATGAAAGAGTTGCTGCTGAGGAGGAGCAAGGGCAGGGGTTTACGTGGTCAACAACAAATGCGTGATGAGCAATAATCAAATGAAGATAAATAAGTTATCGAAATGTGAACAATTCTTGGGCATCAAAGCAAAGGCAGCGTAGCATGTGTTTGTTGTTATTGATTGGTGAGCATGGTAATAAAGAGAGAGAGAGAAACAAATTTTGGGGGGCTTCAACAGCGAGAGAGTTTGTTTTGATGCCGGTAAAGCCAGTGTGGTCAATTTGGTGATAGTTTGAACGTCAATCACAGCTGTTAACAATGGGTTAGGGAGCGCTTTTCCAATAAAACCGAAAGAAAATATAAAAATATATAAAAAATAATAAGTGAAGCAATTAACAGGCACTTGTTTGTTGTTGTGAAAAAAATAATACAAGAGAATAATTGAGATGGTTCATTCACATAAAAAATATGAGGTGTCCATTTGCCAATTTCTAGAGGAGCGCTTAAAAGAGGTGAAAATAAAAAAACAATTAAATTAAACTCACTTCTTTCCGGCAAACTTAATACCCGTGAATTGGGCCATACGAGAAATGTCGGTAAGAAGAAGTGTTGTCAATGTGGCTATTTTTTATACCCTCCACCATTCTATGAAACTCCTCGAAATATTCATAATAGACCCTACAAAGTATATATATTCTGGATCAACGTACAATTCTAAGATGACCTAGCAATATCCGTCTGTCTGACTGTCTGTTGTAACGAATTGAGAAAGAAGTCGAAAATTTTGCATACATGCATAGTTTACCATTAGGCAGGTTAACTTCGTAAATGAGCCACGTTTTCGTATAGGCCTCATATAACGGTACCTTCCGATATTCGGTATTTTCATAATTTTTTGCGACATTATTTACCGGAATTATTTCAAATTTAATATTTAAAGTTCGTAATGGGTACTACAGCCTATGACAAACATTTTTGTATGCAGATTCACGTCTTCGTATAGCCCCCATAAAACGATACCTGCCGATATTCCGTATTTTGATGATTTCAACAACATTATTCACTGGAATCCTTTCA